GTCCCCCCCCCCCCCCCACGGGGGAATCTATGTAGTAGAGATGGTTCAAAAATATCCAAATAAGCGTCCACAAAAGCGTCAATAAGGCTAATAAAATAGCTTTGCTTTTCGATTGGTAATTCCCTCGAAAGAAATTTTCCCTATGACTTTGTCCTGAAACTTTGCATGAACATTAATTATGTTATGGACATTTAAAAACTGCAATAAAAAGATGGGGTCACTAGTCGCTCTTCAAATATGTCAATTTATGGGTTTTACGGTGAAATGCGGTAGCAGCCGGAAACTGTAATCAAGAACCTTTATTCATAGTTAAAAGTACTTTCATATAACAAAACGTACTTATAACTCGAAATTTACTAGATAATCTATAGTATTAAATCCATCAAAGTCATTGGATGACTATGATTCTTGAACTATTAGTGAAAAATGCAGGTATGTGCGCCTCTACGAACGTCCAAAACTTGCACATGTCAACTATTCCCATCAAAATATTTCAAAATCTATCCAATAAACTTTCCTTCATATTTTAATATATAATGATGAGCATTGCAATTATCGAAAATCTGAAATAAAAGATGGGGGTCACCATTCTCGTTTTTGAATTTTCTTGAAAAAACATCTCAAAATAGTCGAAAACTGACACTTTTTCGCAATTTCTCTACTTAAAAAAGAGGATAAAATGAAGATTGGTTTTCAACATGTTTCTTATTCAGACCCTTTCCTCACATATCCGGAATTTTTTTTTTTTTTTTTTTTTTTTTTTTTTTTTTTTTTTGTGCTCATCCTTTCTACGCATGAATTTAGTGAGCGTGCGCCGTGACGACGTCATATGAATTAATATCTTATAGCTCTAAAACGAAGTCGGTCAACCCCACCCCCCACTCCCCCCATTTTTATTTCGTTTTTTGAAAGTTTTTTTTTTAACTTACTTTAGAGCAAAAATRAAAATATCTGATGATGGGATCAATTCGAAATTACATATTTCGTGTATAATTGGAATGGAATTTTACGTAACGCGAAGGCTTCAAGTCCACACTCGTAGCTCAATAACATTTTATATTTCTAGTTTTTAACACAAATTTCAATCAATAAAGTTATTTGGTTCTTTTTTAGAGTTCTGTGGAAAAATAGGGAAGACCAATTTATTTGTTTCAGTAAAATATGGATTATTTTGACAGCTTTCCATGTTCACGTTATTCGCGCGATTTTACCGTAAAAAGGGTAAACTTCCATGTATTCTGACGGCTAAACGAAGTCGGGGACCACATTTTTTATTTGCCTATTTTACTTCTAGTATGATTTTCTTTCATCGTGTGAAATTTTTAAAAAATCTGACGATGGGATCTTTTGCCCATCATTTTGACGTTTTTTATCACCATGAAATTCGTTAGACACTAGTGACAATATGTATACACAAAAGTTTTGCATTCTTTATTATATTTAATACTATTACAGGCCCAGTTCTCCTTGGTGGCCGTACATACGGGTCATCCTACGAGGCATCATCTTTACAGGGATTGCAAGACGTAAACCATGAAGAATAGAATATGTCCACCGAATCTCTTCATCTGAGATGAAATATAGAAAAATGAAATATAAATCAGTTTATAATTTTATTTTTGTTACAAAAAATCATGTCAGAGCTAGGGGTAAAACCGCAGGAAGCCCAAGCTTGTATGACGATGGCACACTTTGCGTGACATATAATTCTATAGGGGATCCCAAAAAAATGAAGAGTAGGCGCCTCTTGAATGTCACTTACTCACCTTGCGTGACATAAATTCTTCTAAAGGCCGGTTTAGACGATACGCACGATTTTCGAATACAACTATCGCATACAACACGCTCGCGTCATCCTACAACTCGAGTCGTAGCGTGTAAATCAAGCCTTCAACTCGCCTACGACAGACGCGAGCGTGTTGTATGCGATAGTTGTAGGCGAAAATCGTACCGTCTAAACCGGCCTTAAAGGAGATCCGAACTAGGAATATTAGACTCACCTTGCGTGACATATATTTATATATATATATATAGGGGATACGTTCTAGGAATAATACTTACCTTGCGTGATGTATATCCTTCTATAGGGGATCCCAGCCAGGAACGATAGACGTCTTTTACTCATTTCTTTACCCTTTTTATGTTGTTTTGCTTTCTTTGAAGGCTGCTGCTTCTCTTTGATCTCTCTTCTTCGTTCAACCATGAATCTATGAAAATTTGATTGGTTATATGAGTTCCGTCGATGGTGGAGGGTGAGGTGAAGTAGAGAGGAAAGAAAAACCCTCAAAGAAAAAACCTCTTATCCTACCCTGTAAAGACCTTTGGGGATCAAATCGCAGATAATTAGAATTTTGTCATATGAATATTTAGGGGTGAAAAGTATTGTCATGTTTCGCGGACATTAAGCCAACATGTGTGGAAACTCCTTTTAATCAACAACGTGCCTACATCCGGCTGATGATTCAGACTGAATGTTGGGTGATTCTCGGACCATTCGTGTCATGGCGTTTAGGCCTAGTGTTTTACCATAAATGTAATTTTTTTCGCTTTTTGATTGGTCGAGTGCAGTAGAAAATGAGAAGACATACCAACTACTAATTACTAATTCCAAATCGCTCGCGCATGGATTGTGTGCGCACTAAAAACCGTTTTTCTTTCAAATCTTTTGCTATTTTTAAGAAGGGGGAGGGACTTATTTGTTAAATCTCTGTATGATAAAAGTGTAGTGTACAGCGCACACTCCCCTGAGAAAATTTCCTGCACAAAGGCAGACTTACTTTTTCCAGTAGTGAATGAGTGTAGTGAATACAGCCAGTGCCGCTTCATGGAAGATCCCACGTTCAATCATCCCTGATCGAACAAGGTTGGAGATATTTTCTGCCTGATCCGTTGATATGTTGATCTATAGGGAGATCAAACATGAAAATATAACATATCATTGTGTTGAAGATGAACAAATAAAGTGGCATACCATATATCCATGAAAAAGTTAATTAACAAAATTGTACAAATTAGTGCAAAGTTTTGTAGGTCTATGGTACATGGTCTTGAGTGCATACTGATATATCCTTAACATTGTACAAATAATTGCAAGGGTTTGTAAGTCTACAATCTAGAGTGCATACTATAAAGCCTTGAAAAAGTTAACTAATAAAATTGTACAAACTATTGCAAAGTCTATTGTCTAAACTATTGTCCCAGCCTTCTCAATGCTATATATATCACTCGCAAGGCCAATTCTCGAATACGCGTCACCTGTTTGGTGTCCATATCTAGTGAAGGACATCACCGCACTTGAAAAAGCACAAATTAGGGCCTAAAGACTGGCGCTTCGAAAAGCGAGAGGGGAAATGCCATACGAAAAACGATGTAAAACATTGAAGTGGCCTGCACCCTCAGCCCGCAGAGACAGAGACTATCTGACTCTTGTATAGTTTTTGGTTTATATAATCTGAGCTTTGATCATTTTTTCGAATTTGCGAAAGTTAAGTCTACTAGTGCTAACCATTCCTATAAACTATGTACACCTAGAGTTAATTGCTATAAATTTTGCATGGAATTACTGTGAATATTCATGCATTCCAGTAAAGGTCCGTGGAATTTCAAGGTGTTTATATATATTGTTAAAGTCGTGCATAATTTACTTATCGTATTTGTGAATATTTGGATACTGAAATGAGGCTAACACTGTATGAGCGAGTCTGTGATAAAGGGAAACAKCGGGTGAATATTTGACAGCTAATTCAAAAACTGTCTATTCTCTACTTTCACATCCCCATAATACATTGCGTCTTTGGGGGGTAACCAATCAAAAAACTGTCCCAAATTGAAAGGTTTCTTAATTGAATTTATACTATACCTGCTTTTATCTGTACAATACTGGTTATCAGTTTATTCCAAGTTATTTTTGCGTGTACAGATCATCAAGAGTTTTGGTCATAAAGAAAATGTATTGGCTTACGAAAACAATTCTTAAAATTTACCTTAAACGTCTTCAAGCTTCTATCTTTTTCTGTTTTTACTTCTTCATTTTATTTTTGTATACCAAACAAGGTATTGTCAACATTGTCTGATCAGCCTTCAGCAAAATAAGTGGGTTTTTACCCTCTGGCTACCCCCAAAGACGCAATGTATTAGGGGGATGTGAAAGTAGAGATTTCACAGCAGAGCGACCATAAAAGTACAGTAGTGACTGACCTGTATCTTTGGTGGTAGATCAGAGTCAATATACACCCTTGCAATTGTGTTTGCTTTACTCTCAACCTGTTTTTGGTCATCTGTGCTGTAGTTCCCACTCTTGGCACACTCTGTTGCATTGTCTACCATTTCTTTGAACCTTAAAGTGGAAGAGCTTCGTTAGGATGTATGGTTCGGAATAGGTACTTAGCATCAAACATTATATCATGCGCTAGTATATCACTTCAATGCACATCTACTTAGGGCGTAAGGTTTTTTCATTTCAGACCACGTGTCATGTCTTCCCTGAGTATATCATGTCTTTGTTGAACGGTTGCACATGAGAAGATAGTAATGAATATGGATACGACTCAAACAAAGAATCCTTTTCTCAAGGGAATGGCACGTGATCTGGGATGGGAAAAAACTTACGCCCGGCAAGTGGATTTAGTCCATTCTGATATTAATCTCGTGTCTCACATCGTCGTTCTTGATTTAGTAGTGCTTATTCAAGATTCTATAATAAGTCAAGCCCTTTTGCTTCAGGATTGGATAAAATTGACGTTTTCCTGATTTGTCTTGTTTTATTCTTGGAAGCATTGCATGCTGCAGTAAACGACCAATCATGACCGTGAGCTAGTTGCTTAGGGCCAAGAGAAGTCGTGCAGCACAGTATGCATCTCGCATTGGATAAAATTGACGTTTTCCTAATCCTTTGTCTTCTTTTATTCTTGGAAGTATTGCATGCTGCAGTAAACGACCAATCATGACCGTGAGCTAGTTGCTTAGGGCCAAGGGAAGTCGTGCACCACAGTATGCATCTCGCATTGGA